AAAAAAAAAAGAATTTATTATTTAATCAAAGCTGTTCAGTCTTTTTTATAATTTAATAACAATATTTTTGATGATTATCCAAACTTGGAGCTTTTTTTGCTGTATAACATAATAAAATTTGAGTAAATAAATTAAAGTCATCAAAATGCAAATTTCACTTAATTACATTGAAACTTTAATTTGCTAACAGAAAAGATAACTTTACGTATTTTAAGTTTGAAACTTATTTCTTTATGCAAAACTTTATTTATCAACAAATTTTTTTTTTTTGTTTTAAACTTTCGCATTTATACACTGTTAAAAGTGGACATCTCAATCACAGACATATAACCTATCTCGTCTTTCTTATTATCCTCTGTGCCATCGTTCATCTCAATATTACAACTGTTTTAAACAAAGCTCATTTGTAAGCTGTCAAATTCAAAAACATTTATACTTTGAAAACAATGAAGAATTGAAATTTGTCAATATTTCAAAAATATGGACGTTTATGTAACGAAATAAGCGTTGGAGTATATATAAAGCCATTTCTTTACCCAATCCCTTCTCTCCTCCTCGCAATCATTTGTCGAGGACTTATCTGTAAACTTTTTACGGTCTGATACACTGCACCATATTGACAATTATTACATATCTGAGGTATTGTTCAAAAAAATTTTCATAAAAAATTTTTTCTTTTTTTTGCAAAGAGATTTCGTTTTAATTTTTATAAATTTTTATCCTGTTCAAACATTTCTTCATTTCTATGTATATTTGGTTACAGTTCTGTTTACCTGTGCCAAACCATTTTTCACATTCGTCATTCATTTTATCACCTAAACTTTTGCTTTATAAAATGTACTTTCAAAAAACATTTTCTGTTTTTCTAAGCTTATTTAAACAAACCTATTTGTTTGCCGCTTTTAGCAGCCATTTAATTGTCAACAAATTCAACAGTTGCAGTCGACAATTAAATCATTCAACTGCACCTATTAACAATACTTCTTGAAAATCTCTACCTTTTTCTTTTTTTTGTTTGCATACCGCTAAATGTGAATTAGAAAAATATTTTACCAATAATCAGTAAATTATAATTTTAACTAAAAAAAGCCAAAAAAAAATTTACCACCTGAGCTAACTCTTTTTTAAGCCTAATCAAAACTATGTGAACCACAGAAAAAAGTTTAGTATAATCATAAAAAAGTGAAAACAGTAATAAAGATTACATTTTTACCAATAAAAACCTGTATCAAAAACCAACAACTTTTTTAAAGCTTTTGAAGAATGCAAAGGTTTAGCAAAATGTTTTATCACTGTGAAGTTTAAAAATGAAAAACAAAAAGCAGAAATGATAAAAAAAAGAAAGAAATTGTCAGGCTGTATGTAATAACCAACAGATTGTAAGTTTTGCTGCAATTAACTTGTAAACTGAGTTAGTGGTTTCAAGTTTCCGTCAGTATTGTTGAGCTTTAGCATAATATGTTTAATCTAAAATACCTTATTGTTAAGTTGCATCTGCTTACATTCCCACTATTGAAAACTGTTTATCCGCATCAACCACCTTTACCAAACAACGAGCAGTACCGCAAAAGCAGAAATTCAGTTTTTTATTCTAAAACAATTTTTGAAATTTATAATCTTAGCTGTTCTTTCCAGCTTTATCAAGGCATTTAAAAAAACTGAACAAAAAGTGAAAGTTTAATCTATCTAATCATTTTTTAAGAGTTTTTCTTGAAACTACTGCTAAAATAGAATATTTGCAAAGTGATACTTCAGTACCAGCGCTCTAATTTAGTGTTACTTTAAATTAAAACTTTCTTTAAGCATACGATTTGAATATTGAGATTTATAGTTTAAAAAACTGGTAAATTAGCTTACTCGACTTGAGCAGAAGTGTTGTTGATGCATCAATGAAAACTTGTTCGATCATTTAGTAATTAACAACAGCGGTTCAACTCGCGAAACATAGCCGAAACCTCTTCTCCAGAGTAATGATGTTCCACAAGCGTTTCTTGTTTGCTTCTGAAATCTTATGCATATGAAGAAAAACTTGAATCTAATTTTATTCGGTACGATTGCTAAATACTACAAATACCACCTTCTTTGTTTTCTCCTTTGGCGTATTTGTTATAAAAAAAGCATAACAAGACAATAACACGGTGGTAGCAATTTCCTTGAAGAAGAAACGAAACATTCAAAGAAATGAGAATGAGATTTCCTTTGGTATTTACATAGTTCCAAGGCAACAATGTAAAAACTTTTTTGGTTTAATAAACAATATTCTTTGCAAAAATGGCCAAATAAAAACTGTCATTCTCAAGCTGCAATTATATGTTCAGAAAACTTGAAGATTTGTATTGAACAAAACTGAAACACACACAGTTTAGAAAACCGCTCTTTGAGTTTAAGACTGATCCAAAAAAAAGCACCTGTTCAAACAAAATGTCTTAAATTTTGAACCTCTCGAATTTATAAGATTATTCAAAACAGGAGAGTGATCTATGAAAAACCGATCAAAATTTTAGTACCATTAAAAATTGTGAAATTTTATACTATCTGTTTTTGATAATACTTTGCACTTTTTGGAATTCTTCAATAAATTCTTTATGCTTCGATTCATCATGTACGGTACATAATAAAAAAAAAAATTCAATATTTACTTTAATTTGACAACGTTGTCATCTCAGGATAAATTAGTTTGCTTTCTTTATATGCTTTATAAATGTAAATAAAAAGACAAAAGTGGCTTTTCCAAAAAAGAAAAAAAACTGACTCCAATACCCTTAGCTTTCCTTATTTACTAGAACCATTCAAACAGTAAATACTAAACAGTGCCGGATATGCTAATTATTTCACCGATAAATACGACCTGTAGAGTACTGCTGATTCAAATTTTGGTTCTATTAATAATCGCAAACACCAAACTCAAAGTTTCCTTGCTGATATAGTTGTGATGTAATCTGTTATTTCCTTGATAAGTACCATTGCACCTCATTACCGTCTTAGTTATAAGCTTTCCAAAATTATGGGATTAAAATAGTTTAATTGCTTACAACATATCGACAAGTCATTTAAATGTGCTGAAAAAAATGAAAATACAAGAAATACACAAAGAAAATTTATATTTCAATCTGTAGGTTTGAAGAAATTAACAGAGCGTTAGACTGAGACGATTTCTTAATGTGACAAAACAGCCAGTGACCATATTACTTTAATCTTTTAGTTTACTCGGTAATCGCCAAAAATCTTTTTGTAGGAAAATTTAGTTTGAGAAAGCTACCAAAATTGTTCAAACAATTTTTGAAAAAAAAAAAACTTAATTTTAAGTTAAAATTGAAAATAACGTGGTAAACATAAAGTGATTTGAGAAATTATATAAATATGATAAATTTTATAGTACCCATTAGCGGTTATCAGATTTCTGTAAAAGCAGACAAATATCAGACAGCTCACAGAAATTGCAGCCAGTGAAATCACTAAACTCCCTGAGCCTTTGCTAAAACTCAATCACTAAAAAAGCTTTCACTTTAGTATACAATTCCTTTCAAAAAAAAAAAAAAACGTCTTAGCTTAGATATCTTCTGATACAGCTTTATTCTCTTCTTTCTCTATTCTTCACTAAAATCTGCTTTACCGGCAGCGGTACAAAAATTCTTGAACTATCAGACAGATTTGTCGAATCGTACAATAATCTGACTAAATAAAAAAAATTTTTTTTGAAAAGAAATCATTGCAGCTATGTTTCAGTAATTTATTTTTCCACTTACTTTACTGATACACGAAGAAACTACGCAAAGCAGATATCTCATTTTCTGCTTATTCACTACTTGGTAGTAATAGGAATTTTTTTTTGATTGGCAAAAATTTGCATATTTTAGTCAAGTACGATGGTCCACTGTATAATTGGTTCAATTTAGTGCAGCTAAAGTAGCTTCAAAAAACACTTACTTATCTTCTCAAGTAGTATTATTGTTTTTTATTTTTTAGGATACGATAACATTAATAGCAGTTGTCTTCTGCAGTTAGATTCAAGTTATAAAAAAGATAAACTGATGAACTACTGTAGAAATTACCAAAAACTGCAACATCATCAGTACTATATTAAGACAAACAATTTTTATTCGACGACTCAGCCAAAGTTACGCCGCTAGTTGACGGAAATACAGTATACAACAACAAGAATCCTTCTGAATAGAAACCATGACTTTCCTTTACAACAGATGTCCATAGAAGGATCAACTCAGACTTTTATTTTTGGTGTATATCGTTTCCAAAACTGTTACATTAAAGTTTTACCCAACTTTACATACTAATCAAACCACCTTGATATATCACCTTGTAAACCCTAATTTAAAAATTAATTAAAACATTAGAAGTCATAAACAAATAACAATCAACACAATTAATGGAAAAATTTTATAAAAAAAGAAGCCGTGTTAGCTGCAGCACTTCTAATGTAAAAATTTTTTGAACAGAAAAGGAGCATAACATTTAGCATAACAATTACTATTGTACTATGTCGACATATTAAAGCCTCTTTGTCGATAATCTCCAAAAAAAGTTACAATGTTTAATACGAATAATACTGATCTAATTCATCTATAGCTGACTTAGTTTCTGGTTCTTTATACACTTTTTCTTCTTCGTACGGAAATAGAGTAAAGATTACTGGAGCTATTAGCGAAAGTGATGCTCCAACATAAAACGAAAGTCCTGGGGTGATACCGAATATCATAATTGAGATAAAACCGTAAAATACATTAGCCACTGAGCCTACAAACGCTTTCAATAGCGTACTGCCAAATTTGATTGCAACACCAATTGACAAACCCATTATTGAGGTAAGAAATACTCTTATATAAGTATAACGATCGAACGGTTTCCATCCATGATCAGACATAGATTCCTGCAATCAAAACTTCTGTACTTCTCTTTAACTAACTGGAATAAAATTCTCTAAAACTGTAAAATAAACAAAAAAAACTTCTTTGATACAAAATCTTAAATCACATCTACGAAAATAAAGTTTTTTTTAGTTCCTTTTGTTTGCTGATAAAGCAAAAGTTTGTCCAATTTAGTTTACCGTTATAGGTAATGTGATAACACCAACAACGATTGACAGAAATGCGAGTTGAACATTTCGAAGCCAAATTGACACTTTACTTCTTCGTTTCAGCAACCTTTCCAAGTAGACTCCAGTAAAACCTAAGTGTTTCAGACGAGTTTCGACAAAAACAAGCAAAAGAAATGGTTGAAAGTGTATTTCTTTTATTAATAACCCAAGAAAGAAAAGTTATAATTGTTTAAATGTAAAAAAAAATAGGTTTTGTTACCTGACATCGTTACAGAGACTATTTGAACGCCAAGGCCATGTATTATGCGAAAAGCTCCGAGATCTGGTAATTTTGGAATCTTTATTTTTCCAGATAAAATGGCCTTTCGTTCCTTTTGTCTTTTTTCACTTTGTTTTGAACTCATACGATCCTTTAATTTTTTAACTTTATTTGGAATAAAAAGTAATAATAGTAAAACAATTATAATAATAAAAGTAATAGTAAAAAAAATTTGAATACTTAAACCTTTTCTTGGTACTTAATTAACGTTATAAAAATAGTCTTATTTAAACAAAGTTTTTAATTAATCTGGCAAAAATATTTGATTATTCTGAAAAAAATTATTACTTTTTATAATAGGATGTGAACGATAAAACACGACCAAAAAAGAACAAAAATAAGTTTTAATTGGTAATTTAAAAAAAAAAAAAACTTACTGCTTGTATTAAGGTTGCTCCTAAAGTTTGTAGAACTATCGAAAACCATTGATTTGGTGAAAGATCAGTGTCTATCAAATGTACCCAAAAAAAGGCTGTTACTATTAACTTCAGTTGACCAAGTGCCTAAATCATTCAGTATTTTTATGATAATTAGTTGGCATCATTATTGCTG